ATGGGGAGACTGCTGCTGGTGATCTTACTACGATTACCAGGTCTGCACGAAGAACATGAAGGGCATAGCCACGACCACGGTTGTTGCTCTTGTTAGTGTTGCTGCTGCAGTTGATGTGATGGTTGTGGTTGTGGTTGTAGTTGTGGTTGTGGTTGTCGTTGCGGTTGTGGTGGTTGTGGTGGTGGTGGTGGTAGTGGTGGTGGTGGTGGTGGTGGCGGTGGTGGTGGTAGTGGCGGTGGCGGTGGCGGTGGCGGTAGCGGCGGCGATGGCAGTGGCGCTGGCGGCGGCGGTGATGGTTGTCGCGGTGTTCGTTGTGGTTGTGGTTGTATTTGTAGTTGTATTTGTGATAGTAGTAGTAGTAGTAGTAGTAGTAGCAGTAGTAGTAGTAGTAGTAGTAGTAGTAGTGGTTGTTGTTGTTGTTGTTGTGGTTGTTGGCTTTTGGTTCTTGGTCATTGGCGGTTGATCTTTGGTTATGGGTTGTTGGTTGTTGATGTCGTTGTTTACCGTCCGGATTTCATCCGACACTTCTGACTTCTGAGGTTCATGGATTGACGTTCAACGTGCTGAAGCTGCTGATGGAGGTGGCTCCGTCTTGCCTGACTACCCGCAGATCATATTACACGGCAGATTATCTCTTACAGTGTCTTATTGTCCAGATTATCTCAAAGGTTGCAGCTGCATGCTGCATGTGATCTTTTATCGCATTTTGCATTCATATGAAATGTTATGTTACATGTTCCCACGGTCTGTTCTGTTGGGCTTGGGGCTTGTGGCTGCGCTTCCTTCGTGCTCATGTCTACTACAGGGGCCTATAATAATTACCGACACTATTTCGGGGTTCCTTATTATAAATATAGGATAGTATACCCCAAAACCCCATTCTGATTATGAAGGCCCCTATATTAGCAAAGTCTTGAGAGTGATCGGTTCATGTTGGGAGTCCCTCCAGAAGTTGTTTCCCAGCTTTCAACCGCATTCCTTTTTGGGTTTTGGGGTTTTCTTTTTAAAGGTTCAGGCTTCAGGGTTTTAGGGTCTTTATAGGGTTTAGGGTCGTGTTTAAGGACTTAGAGGCTTTTCAACTTGTTGCAAATCATGGCCGACGTGCCGACCGAACTGGCCCTTCCAAAGCTAGTTACACTCCCAACCCTCCACCACAGTGCTTTGGGTAGCCCACCGCATGTTATTCTGTTCGCGTGTTAGACCCCAAAGCCCCACACCTTACCTAACCTACCATAACCTACTATTTTTGTAGGGTCCCTCTAAATTCATACACTCTAGACTAGGGTTGAGAATAGCCTACGACAGAGAAGGTTTTGGCAGTTTAAGGTAAATCCTGAACCCCGAACATGCACGGACCTGCGCACGCCTACAGCCCTAAATCCTAAACCCTAAACCCTAAAACCCTAAACCCTAAACCCTGAACGCTGAACTTTAAACCTCACGTCTCAGGCAGACCCCCAGCTCTTCGACGAGTGCTCGGCCAAGCATCGCGCCGACGAAGAGGAGGAAGGTCGACGTGAGCAGGACCTGGGTTGCTCACCCTAAACCTTACAGGGGTTCAGGGAGTTCAGGGCTTGGGGAGTCTAGGGCTTAGGGAGTTTAGGGATTAGGGAGTGTAGGGGTTTGCTAAACTCTATCGGTTTTTGGTGTAGTTAGGGTTTAGGGTTTAGGGCCAAACTCATTCCCAGCTCCAAAACCTCCGCCTGTTTTTTCCATTTTGCTGAGGCTTGAGAGCTTAAACACTTTAGGGCGTTTGGGCTTAGTGTTTAGTGGCTTCAGAGCATGGTTCCGACTCGAGTAGAGAAGTTTGGATTTCCCTTGCTTGTCTTCCATAGGAGTGGAGCTTTAAAGTGTTTAGGGTTTAGGGTTTAGGGGTTAGGGCTTAGGGTTTAGGGTTTAGGGGTTGGGGCTTAGGGTTTAGGGTTTAGGGCCTAGGGTTTGGGGTTTAGGGTTTAGGTTCGGTTCAGGTCGAGGGACCTGGCTCCCTGGATTCTGCTCGCAATGTGGCGTAGGGCTCTGGGTGGATACGCATAGGCCCCTAAGTAGTTCTTTTTTGGGATTACCTTATAGGATTCTAAATATAAACCATAAAAAGGAACTACTCCCATGGGTAGACTACATGTCGAGGGAGTCACGGCCAAAGCTCTAGACTCGATGCGTCCCTGGACTCCTCAACTACCCTCCATTGGGGCCTAAATACCCGTTATATACGGATCATAAGGGCTCCAGTGAGTCTCCTGTTATCAAAGGGTACTTGGGGGTCCGGGTGTTTTCATCAGAAGCCATGTTATCCCTGAACCCCAGACCTCCAAGCCGTAATCCACAGCCACAAGCCTAAGCCTGAACCTGAAAAAGACCTAAACCCGCAACCCTACCTCTTAGGGCTTAGGGATTAGGGTTTAGGGTTATCCCCGAACCCGACGGATGGCAGATGAACATTCTCAAAGTCGCCCAGAGTCGTTGAGTTCTCGTCATACCCTCGGTACATCGGTTTCTTAGTGGCAGGACCTCCCCCCCCCTTCGGGACTCCCGGTCTCGTGATGAGAGTCAGCCGATAATATTATACTATATTATATTATATTATATTATAGTATATCACATTATATTATACTATACTATACTATATTCTGGATATTTTTGCACAGGAGCGCACGCGAAAGTGGCAAGTTCTCCAGGAGATGCATGATGCGAAAGTGAAAGTCTAGGCTTTCGGGGACTCTCCGCGATTCTAGCAGTGCTTCACGCTATGTTTGCTCTAGGGCTTGGGGTGGGTGCTTGATGGTCCCTGGAACCTGTACTCCTGAACAAGAAGCTTTGTTCAGTATCGAGTTGGGGCGGTGCCGGGGGCCTGACTTGCGGACCAAAAACGGCAGAAGAAGGTCAGCAGACAGAGAGAGCATGGTTCCTAGCCATGAGCATGTCTCGCCTGAGTGGTCCGCTCACCTCGGATAAGTCGGGTGCCGAAATCTGTTGCCTACTCTGGCACCATATCACGGGCGGTGTTTCACAGCACGCTGCACAGACCGGCTTGTGCGTAATACCTTGCCCATGTCATTTACCAGGTGCCAAGATTTGGGCAGACATCATAATGCTGTTGTCAGAGTTTGGGCTGCAGCATTGCTTTTTTGTGACATGTTCTACCTCTTATAGCGATTCCTCTTGCAATAGTGTTGCTGTCAGGATGCTGTGGTCGTGAAAGCCCAAACATTCCGAATAAACCGAAATGGCAGCACGGCACGCGCGAATGCATCAGTGACCTTAGATGTTCCGGACTGCTCTTGTGTCAAAACAGCGCTGCCGTTCATTCGTCCTGACCTCTACTTCTTGGACTTAGCATTCCATGAGTTGTAGCAGGGATGTCTTGATTTTCGCCAGTTTTAGCAACATTCTTTGATGTTCAGCAAACTGAAATCTTTCATAGTGAATGAACCGAAGCGGCGACGAATGGTAGATGCGGTCATTGCAGCAGCAAGAATCCTGAACCCTACAATGCCCGAAACCCGAAACCCAAGACGCTAAACGAAACTTGAACTCAAGACTCTGAACCCCTCCAAGCCACAATGTCACAAGTTGTAGACCCTATACCCCAAAACCCTCAGACCCTAAACCTGAGATTCCCTTATCCCTCCCTATTATTTCGTGACACACCCACTCCATCCAGTGGTTTTTGCCACTGTGCTTTAGCCTCGCTCGCTGCTGCGCTGCCTGGGCTCACACCCCCTCGGGCTTCCCTAAGCTTCACCGCAAAGGTAGCTGCAGAGGTTTAGGGTTTAGGGTTTAGGGTTTAGTCCTCCTGGCATTCTTTTTGTTGTGTTTTTGTTGGGGGGCTTTTGGATGTCAGTCCACACAATATAAGCTCACATGATTTTTCAACCCCAAGCATCCCCATGCCCTACACCCTGAACCCTAAACCTTAAACAACTCCTACTGTACACAGTAAATGACAATAAACCCTACTAGCAGCCTACTAGGAACATATCTCCAAAAACTTATTCTACTTATTAATACCCCCAAAAACTTATTATACCCCCAAAAACTTATTCTACTTATGTATACCCCCCCAAAAACTTATTCTACTTATTAAGGCCCCTCCAGTGCATTCACGTTTTTTTCGTTGCGGCGAGCTCTGGGCTTGGAATGCAGCGCCCGAACTCCTTGGGGCCATGGCCTACTTTTATGTTTCTTGGTTCCCACGATCTTTCCCTAAACCCGAAACCCTAAACCCTAAGCCCTAAACCTTAAACCCTAAACCTTAAACCCTAAACCCTAAACCTTAAGGAGAGGTTCAATCCCGCGCCTAGAAGTATGTCCCCGAACCCTGAACCCGAGGCCGCACTCCCCGAAACTCCAGGCTTCGAGGGACCTACGTAAGCCCGAATCATACAGACATCCTACTTGGAGGTTCATGGGCAGTTATAAATGGGGTCATAAGTAGGGTAACTATACATATTAGGGGACTTATAACCCCACTTATAACTACCCATGAACCTCCAAGTAAGCCCTAAATACTTGCGGAGTGCCGGGGTGCTTTAGGATGGCTCAGAACTGGAGAAACAGTCGAAGGTGCGACATGGAGTTCGGAATGATTAGCAACCGTGCCCCATTTTAGAGCCCCTTATTAGAAGATCCCAAGCGACAGATCCCAAAACCCTATTGAACTTGCTCCAATTCATAGTTATGGTCCCTTTTTTACTATTGAATCTTGGGGTAGCACGAGTTTTAATCATACACAGTACGCAAAATCTGTGAAATAGTGAAAAACATCATGACTGTCGAAATATGACAATAGTCATAGAAGTCGCAACAATCATAATCGCTATAATGCGACAACTGGTTATATTTCTCGTAGCAGCAAAGCAACCACAATGATCTTCATAATAAGAATAAAGAAGCAGAATAACGAAACGAGCATGATTTAGAAGCCAATCATAGCAATAGCAAAAAATGAACTGATAAGAGTTTAAAACAAACAACTATCAGAGTAATAGACAAGTAATAAGATGCTTGCTCCACAGCTGTGCTTCGATGGCTATTGGACGGCACTGAAGTGTTGCAATGATGCTGACCCTTTCTGGATGCAGAAGTGCTGCTCGGTAGGCTTACCGGGTTTGCTGCAGGGTTTAGAGTTTTTGTCCCCATTCAATTGCTTGATAATCTCAAAGGTGAGCATTTCGTTCCCTAGGCAACTGAACAAGTAAGGCTGGACGGGCGAAGGGCGGCACATGGAGATCTGCTGTCACGGCCGGGCATTGCAAGCTCGAGATCATTTGCAGAAGAAGCTGAGGCAAGTCAAGTTGTCTCAGGGCCCTTGTGCTGGATCTTTCGACTTGTCCGAATTCAGCAACATGGGGATGCTGGCTTCGGCAGCGAAATGGGTGGTGACTGATGCAGATCTGCGTGCACGAGAATCATTTCAGTTTGGGCATCGCCAGCTTCCCGATCGGTGTTCTCAGATAGCACTGCATGAGGATGACGAGTCAGCAGCGGTTCGCCTGTGGGATATGCTCGGCCAGGGGCGCACCAGACGCCTCCTGAATTTCGGGGCCGGTAGCTGGAGCGATCCTCTCTGGGCGATTGCCTTACAGCGGAATGCAACGGGCCTTTTCGTTGACCCAGTGGGCCCGCCCAAAGAGTTCCTGCCACGGGCAGGCATACGCTTTGTCAGTGACTTTGTTCGGCCTGACAATATTCGCAAGCTACTGCGCGGCGCGGGTTTTAGAGGGAGACCAGGATCGCCCATGCCCATTGACTTCATGAAGGTAGACGTCGACTCATGCGACTGTGTGCTTGCCTCAATCGCATTGCGCTTCGTTCGGCCCAGCGTCATTATCATGGAGTTAAACTGGAGCTTGCCTCCACCTCTGAGGTTCGTTCGTCAGTGCCATGCTGACTGGAGTCGGGAATGGTCTTCTTGGAGCTCTGTTGGGTTCC